TTCTCCAACCCACTCTGTCCTGGGCCTTCCTTAGTAGTTCATTCTTCTCACCTCTGTCTCAATTTCTCGACGTAATGTGCTTACTGACCTTCCTCTTTTCCTTCGACCTTGAGGGTTCTACGTGAGGGCTTCTCTTTTGACGCAGTTCGAAGCTCCTTGCAGTGTATGTCCTATCCACTTCCACCACTTCTTCCTGATTTCCTCCTCCACTGGAATTTGGTTTCCTCTTTCCCACAGTAGGTCGTTACTGATGGTGTCTGGCCAACGAATCCGAAGTATTTTGCATAGACAACTGTTAATAAACACTTGTGTCTTCTGGATGATAGCTTATGTGGTTCTTCAAGTTTCCGCCACATTCAGTAGAATTATCTTAAGCTTTTTATTGAAAATTCTGACTTTGGTATATATATATATATATATATATATATATATATATGTATGAAGAAGATAGTTTAATCACACATAACCTTGAGCAACCCACTTATAATATAAGCGGATAATGGATTTTCTTCTCTTACATCTGTTCTAGCCTTCAAAATACTCTGATCGCGTAATACATTTCGATTTGTAGATACTCCTGTTTCTGGTCGACGCTTCACTGTATACTACTTATTTGTTACCTTGTGAGTAGCATCCATTTCTCTAGGGTCCTCGCTGTGATTGTTATCAATGGTTGCGGACATTGTATTAAGACATAACTGAAGAATTGATTACAATGCCACAAATCTATCCGGTCATTTTAATTACTTCTGATTCATTTTGATAATTGTATCGCTAAAGTTTTACGCGTTAAAATCATCGATCAATCATTGTTAGACCACCATTAGAAACCTAAAAGCACTGAAGGATAGCCATTTCGTCCTGGTATAGGACTCACCGGAATTACGCATCCCTGCACCTCGCATGGTCCGAACCCAGAACCCTTAGTGTTGCACTCGAATGCCTAACATCTAGACCACCACTGAGCCGGCATCCAACGTTGTTAGTGTCTAGCTCTGATCAATCTAGGAATTTTGCACCACCCTACCTATTTGTTTTCGCTAGTTACTGCCTTTACCCGACAACATTGAACTCAACTGGTCTCATGTTCCCACTAGAACTCCGAATATTACCTCACTCGTGAGCACGTTGATAAATTTTATTCTGTTATTACCAAAGTGATATACTGCAACCAACTTCAACCAAAACCCCGCTATATGAGCCAAATTCTTTGTTGCTCTATAACTACTACTAATCAACTGCTTCAATTGTCATGAAAAAACGTGATAAGATTTTTAAATTCAATGATCAACTTTTGTTTTGTTTTTTCTTCAAATTTTTCACCAATATTCAATCTTCCCTCTTTTTTTTTGTTTTATTCTATTTTAGGAATCAGAATCACAGACTGTATTACAAACAAAACCAACTCCTTCATCATCATTATTATTAGTACAAGTGAAAAAACCAACTACAGCAATACCATCAAATACTGCATTATATAATATCATCAACATGGTTAAGCCGAATAAATCAATACATCCTCTTCAACAAAATGATTTAATGACTGTTGAAGAAAAACAAAACAATTCATGTTCACATAAAATAATTGATCAATATTCAAATATTCATTGTAAGTGTTTGTTTGGTAATAATATTTATGATAATAATAATAATAATAATATCATATTGTGGTGTGAGCTACTTATAAGTAGTATATGACGTGAGTGTCAACGTAATATCTGGCAGCAGAAGATGGGGGAAGATCAAGAAAGGAAGAAGAGTGGGAACACAATGGGATTTGTATGAAACGCATGAATAGTGAGTGAAATGTCAGACAATGGATTGGAGATTCGCAAATTAACGGTTACCATATGGTTTTCCTATTTTACTGAGTAACTCTGTAATTTTCGTTAAATACAATTCGGTTGCCCTCACCTGTGTTCTCCTTCACTACAATATGATTAGTACAATATAGCTTACCCAACAAAGAATATTTCTACAAGTTTCCTTTACAAAACAATTAATGATCAGCAATTGAAGGTAAACACAACTCCGCCTGGAGCCCATCTAGGATTATTGCCGGTACTAATTGTTGGTAGATGTAGACTACCTGGTTGGGTTCCGGCGAGACGAAAGTCATCAATGGTTAGAGACCTTGAATGACATGAATCACAATCGTTTGAAATGGCTCAGGTGCATCATCCATTTGTTGAGTTCTATCAAATCTTAATCTTCTGGATTGGTCAGCACCTCTACTTTTGTCTTTCTAACCTTATCTGACTGAATTATACTTCTTGAATAATATCTTCAAACTGTAGTCTTCTTCATTACCATTAATACCTCTACTATCTTTGTGAATATGGGATTTGATTTTACATTTGCGTCTCTGTGCTAATGTGGTATGGCAACATGAAATTATGTACATACGTACGAAGTTCTACGTTGCAACTGACTGACTGACTGCCGGTACCAAATCCAGTTAAAGGAGGAGGGTTGCACATGCGGTGTTAGCAAGACTCCATCCTGTGGAAATCCGACTCGCTAGAAAGAAAACTCTAAACAGAAAAATAATTCGTTGGTCATCGGCCTATGCTCCATTAAGGAGTAACTGGCGTAAGTAAGTAAGTTGAAAGGAAACTGTTGAAGAATCGACATTTTATGAATGTTGATACTTTTCTCTGAAGATTATACCAGTGACCATGATTTCTGGGATTTTACTTTTTTGAACTTTATAAAGCGATTGCTCGTAAGTGGTTTTTTCACACGCGTGAAGAGATTATACGGTTAAGAGACATAATTGGTGGTGTGTTAGAAGAAACAGAAAACTCATTGGATTTGCTACAGAAAGCGAATATGATGATTTCTAGGTTGTAAGCAACCATGTCATACTGGGTTCCTTACCATCGGTTACTATCGTCTTTTGGACCTTAAACAGGTGGTTTACGCCGACCAACATGACTCTATCAGCTTGTCACTGACTTCATGGATCTGTACCATATTTTGATTTGGCCGCCTTTAGCTTTCTTCCAACTACTCCTCCTAAACCACAAAACATAGCTTGTCGAGGTAGTCGGTGGTTGGGCAAACGTTTTAATTAATTAATTGACTGACAAAAATGTTTGTTGTTGTAAACTAACACTGATCAAAATTTTTATATCATAACTTTGATATACTTCTGATAAGTTCGTCACTTAGTATGCTTGAGGCTATTACGAGTTTACCTTAGTCGATAAACGCGAACGAGACTTTTACCAGCTTCCAGGGAGGCTACCTTGAATACCCAAAATCGGAATAGAAGGCTTTGTAAGCGTAGGAAGTATATTCTACAAACACCCAGCAATCACAGTACAATCAAGCATACAACTCTCGTTTATTTATACAACATAAGAACCTCCTTGAGACAGTTAAGAAAATAGCATACTAAAATACACTGCAGCCAATCACAGCCATTGATTTTGCTGGTGGGAATTGAAATCTCAAGGTCATCTGATCAGCCCATGCTGGCGAAACGTGAAAACCAAAATACGGCATTATCAAGCAAATTTTGGGGATCTAACATCCCCAACAACTTCTTTTTTATTGATTTATTCTACTGAAAGAAGTCCATTCATTTATTCAACAACAAAATCAATCAAGCCTTCACTTCATTTTCATTGTCTTTGATAATTTCATAAACCTACTCTATTCTTACTTACTTACTTACGCCTGTTACCCCCAAATGGAGCATAGGCCGCCGACCAGTATTCTCCAACCTACTCTGTCCTGGGCTTCCCTTTCCACTTCTGTCCAATTTTTGTTCATTTTTCTCATATCTTTCTCCATATCTCGGCGTAATGTGTTCATTGGCCATCCTCTTTTCCTTTTGCCTTGAGGGTTCCATGTAAGGGCTTGTCTCGTGACGCAGTTATGTGCTTTTCATAGTGTGTGTCCTATCCACTTCCACCACTTCTAACTGATTTCCTCCTCCACTGGAATCTGGTTTTTTCTCTCCCACAGTACGTTGTTGCTGATAGTGTCTGGCCAACGAATACGAAGTATTTTGCGTAGACAGCTGTTAATAAACACTTGTACCTTCTGGATGATGGCTTTGGTAGTTCTCCATGTTTCCGCTCCATACAGTAGAATTGTCTTGACATTTTTATTGAAAATCCTGATTTTGATTTCGGTTGGAAGTTGTTTGAAGTTCCAGATATTTGTCAACTGTCGAAATGCAGCCCTTGCTTATTTATAAATATGATTTTACCGCTCTAGAAAATGATTTGTATGTATGTTTCTGATCATTCTATTATGTAGTAGATAAAGAGTTTTAATCTTTAGTGAACTAATGATAGATTAGTGCTCAACCTGTTTTTTCCATTGAAAAGGTGCAAGTTCAAAAGCCAACTCTACTTATTTTATTTTCTAATAAAATACGGATGAAATATTGTTTGTTAGCCCTCTATAAAACAAAGAAATAAATCTGTATAAATGTTATGCTCGTCAATTGATATGCTTGAATGCTATTACGAATTCATCTTACTCGGGTAAACGAGAACGAAGACAAATGATCCAGTGACACGATAGGCTATTCTGATTCGATTGTTCTGTACTGAAGGAGAACACAGGTGGGGCAACCGGATTGTTTTTAACGAAAATTACAGTTACTCAGTAAAATAGGAAAACCATATCGTAAATTGTTAATTTGCAAAATATCAGTTCATCATATCGAACTGGACTGTTCCTGTTGCAAAACATCAATCCATTGTCACTCACTGTTCATGCGTTTCATACAAATTCCATTGTGTTCTTCTAACTCTTCCTTTCTTGATCTTCCCCCATCTTCTGCTGCCAGACATTACGTTGACACTCACGTCATATACTACTTATAAGTAGCTCACACCACAGTTCCAGACCCTGCTAACTATATCGAGAAGTCTCGATATGGCGTAGAAAGTTTTATTCTACAGGCACCCCGAAAATGCGAGGTTGACAAACACTCAAATCGAGTTTATTTACACATGTTAGAAACGCCCTTGGGAGATCTACAAAAGTAGCGTACTAAAATAATCCATCAACCAATAACAGTCAAGGATTTTCCTTGCGGGAAATATAATCTCAAGGTTAACCGATCAGCCCATGCGCTAAAACATAAAATCCAAAATTAGGACCTTAATCAAGTGAAGTTCTGGAGATCTAACGTCCCCAACAATAAATCAAATCTCAATATCACTAGTACCTTGATTCGCACTATTGAATTGCAGTAAAGTTGTCTATGTATTTACATTTAAAATGAATATCGATCTGTCTACAGCCGACAGATCAAAATAGCCGACTTGGTGGTAGTTTTTAATTTTTTATTTTAATGATTAAACAATAATTGATAAATATTTTTCTTTAATCATATATCCTATTATCAATTTGTTAATGTGTAATTTATCATTCATTATGTATGATATACAATTAGTAGTGGGTTTGTCTCTGTCTTAATCGATTGATTTTGACTGACGCAACCTGTTTCTGTTGATATTTTATTATAAAAGCGAATAGGAGTTTTGCTTTGTTTCATTGAAATCATGAGTTGATCAATATTAGACCACTATTGGAAACCTGAAAGCACATGATGGTCATTTTGTAAGCAATACGTATCCGCGACCCCATTACATAGCATCGAATTCTTGCGTGTGAATGTGTGTCAACATTTAGACCACTGAGCCCGGCCGGCATCCAACGGTGTTAAAATGTAACTTCAATTAATCAATGCAGCTCAGCAACCTTCACAATGCTATACTGACAATTATCATATGTTCATTAGTGACTAGCTTTGTGAGGGAATTCTCTCGGTTCTAGTGTGAAACTATGACCAATGGACTTCAGGCGCGTTGGGCGTGGGGAAGTTACCCACCGTAGACAACGGATAATATCGCGCAATACCGTGAATTTATTGAAGTAAGACATTAACACCACTGGATATCAGCTCACTCATTGATCAAGAGGTTAGACTTTCGTGTTCACTGCCCTGTGGCTGAGTTGTGAATATGTACTGCTGATGAGTCCCATACTAGAACGA